AGAGGGGTCATATAATTTAAAGTGCCTTGAAGTGATTTTTAGAAATTTGAGTTGTGGTTATAATAACATCATTTTTCTTACAGTCAAAACTTGTCTGTTTGATGTGATTTTAGTGTGGCTAGATATGTACTTCAATTACCTATCCAATAAGAAAAAAAAATCTTGTAAACCATGCATTTTTTGAAAAAATACGGCCATTTTATGGTAAGGTGTAAGCTAGATATGTACTTCAATTCTAATGACAAGACTAGAAAGCTTCTAATTTGTCTGTCTTGGAGTTGAATTTGGCTTGCTTAGTTTTAATTGGAGTATTAAGATTAATAGGTATTTAGAGTTGACTTAAGAGTTAAGAGTACATACTGTTGGTGGCAGGAACAACCTTCTTTATCCAATGGTCCAACTGTTCTTTTTTAATTCACTTCAGTTTTCTCTTCATGACAAAAAGATAAAGCATGCACAAAAATAAGGAACAAAAAATAAATTCAAACACCAGCAACCTGTAAAAGGAGAACGGTTCCAAAGACCTTAACAACAGGAATCACACACGACAAGAATGATCCTCAATATAACTCTACTTCCTAATCCCTACCTAGGGGGTTATTGGATAGCATTCTAGAATTTGAATTCTTTCCAAAATCAGATTCTGGGAAGAACTTGAGGTGTTTGCTTCAGATTTTACAATGAGATTCTGTAGTCAATTCTACAATGTGGCCAACTCTAAAACCCATCCATAACTTGATCATGGATTTTTGGGGAGTGGATTTTGGTAGAACGATCCCCAAAGTGGTAGAATAATCAAAATCCAAAAAATAAAATGGGATTTTACAGGGTGGATCTTACAATCTGAATTTTTGAATGCAAACATTTTCTGGATCACCCATTAGCCAGACCGTTGACCAATGAGTTGAAGGTCCTGAGAATCCACCTGAATGAGATGTTTGCTCTGGAAATAGAGGTTTTCACCTCCCTGATAAAATGTGACAAACTTCAAAGGTTGTCAAAACCATCTCTCTCACCATCCAATTCCGATGACAACCAATCATCCTCAACCTACTTTGAGCCCTGATAACTCTATATTTTGATGCCTTAAGGGCATCATTTCAGGGGTATTTTAGGCCTTAGAATAGTCAAAATGTCCCATTTTCCCAGTAAAATTCAATATTATGACCTCTAAGGGTCTCTGTGCAAATCTTATGGAAAACTGGGGAAGTTTCATAGCAGAAATGCAGTTTTTGGGAAGTTGGTGTGAAGTCCAACTGAGAGAGGGGGTGTTTTTGTGAAAAACTGAGCATAGGAAGGCACTTCCTATCTCTGCTAAACCCAAAATGGCGCCCCTCCTACTGTATTAGCATGCTCCCCTCTCCTTAGCAAACCCTAGGGCGCCTTCTAAGTTAATCTTTTCATCCTTAACAAACCCTAGCCGCCCCTAGCTGCTAAATCTCCACCTTCCATCCCTTCTAATCTCCACCATTCATTCTAGGGCACCCTTTTTTAGCTTTTAACCCTAGGGCTCCACCTACCTCCTAATCCTCACCATTCAGCCCCTAGCCACTAAATCTCAGCCCTCTAATCCATTCTCTTTCTCAGCCATCCACTCTAGGGCGCCACCCACTCATTTTAATCTCCACATTTCAATCCTAGGCACCTCAATCTCCACCATCCATTTCTAGGCGCCCAAATCTCAGCCCTACATAATATTGGGCACCCTCTCATTTTCTTCTCAGCCTTAGGATCACCCTAAAACCATCCTAACCCTTCATTCTAAACCCTAGGGCGCCCATATTTTTGCTAAAACCCAGCTGCCACCTCCTCTTTCTCTCTAATCCCAGTTTTATCCATCCTTCTCTATAAAAAGGACCCCAAGGGCCCTGGAGAGGGGGTTGGTCAATTCACCCAGTTCACAAGACTAAGGTTTCTTGAGGAGTTCAAGGGTTGTAGAAGGGAAGGACGCCCAGTTCTTGTCAAGAGGGGTTCTTGCAAGCTATTCAACTAATCTGCAACTACTGCCACTGGATCTGATCAACCACCTTTTATTTTCTTTATTTTAATTTCTGTTATTTTTATTCCAGCACCCTTTTAGATTTAATTTATGTTCGCTTTTGTGCTTTGCAGATCTGAATTCGTCCGGTTCAAGGCTAAGGTGTCTCGAGGGCTGAAGAAGGGAAGGGCACCCAGATCTTGTCAAGAGGGGTTCCTGCAAGTTGTCTGGCCAATCTACAGCTACCGCCACTGGATCCGAATTTTGGATCACTTTTGTTTATTTTTTTTGTTGATTTCAGTACTCCTTTAATTTCTGAATTTTAATTATTGTCTTGTTTAATTTCAAGCCTTTAATTTCAGCATTAATAGATTTTATTTTCTTATTTTCTGCAATTCCCAGTTTCATTTTCTTTTTATTTGTCCAAAACGAGAAAATAATAATTTTTCCCTCACTTCCCTGTGGGTTCGACCCTTTTCTCACTACGTACTACGTTGTTTAAGGTTACGTGAGGATTGGAAAAATTTATAAATCTCTAAACTGGTGTTCCAAAGTGGTTAACGACACGCTTCCGGTTACATCAAGCCCTAAAGAACACAATAGTATGTGGATTCCACTCATACACCTCACCATAAATACCTGGTATTTAGTTCCCTCTTCTTCCTAATTTCTTGCATAAGCAACCAACTATTTTTACCCAATTTTCCCTTTTGTTACTTTTCACCATAATTCCAACTCCCATCACTTCGATTTTGCTACCCTCTTTTGCCTTACTTTGTTGACCCACAGTAACTCAAGTTATCACTCTTTAGTCTATCTTTAGAACCTAAATTACCCATTGCTAATTTTTCTTTAGGGATTCCTCGGTAAGGTGGTAAAATCATATTTTCAAATCAGAAAACAGCCATTTCATGTCAAACAATATCAATCAAGATGAAAATAGTTCCAATCCCAATTCCTGAAAATCTTATCAAGGATTGTGCAAGTCTGAATACAAGGTAAAGAATAATGCAGCATTACCAATTAAATAATAACAATGTAGTATAATGAATGCTAATCACATTAAAAACCTTTAATTTGTACTAGATTTTTAATTGCTATTAACATGAATGAACTTTTCAGGCTGCAATTCCAAATTTCAAATTAGAAGTTTAAGCACAATGGCACTAAATTCATGTTCATATATGTCCATACCTGGACTAAATTATATTAGGGGTGCAAGTAGGGTACTCAATTTGAAGAATTTACACTACACTAGGCCCAGGCCCTCAGGCCATACCCCTTAAATTTTAACAAATGCCCAACTTGAGCCCACCTAAGTTGCACCCTTATACTATATGCACCAAGCCAGGACCTGTGTGGGCACATGCAGTTCCAGACCTGATACACTCATCCATTTACAACAGAAAAAGCTCCAAAATTCAAACATTTATATTGGAATAAAAACAGAAAAAAAAAGGAAAATAACATCTTAAAATTTGATAAATATTTTCCTTTAAAAGAGTCCTAATGTTTATGCTCATATAATTGTTATTCAGTACCAGTTAAGGTCCGGCCCAGATTAAAGTTGATATTCATAATTAAGTTTTAATTAACTCCTTTCTTTCTTCCAAAAAAGCTTAGTGAGTAATAAAAAGTTTAGGCTTCCTTCTGGTAACTGAAACATTTACTAACTAAATTGTGAGCACCACATAGAAAAACTGGTAAGATTCCAATACCATCAGGAACAAGTATAAATTGCCAGAGACAGGTTTCTAGGGGTTGTCAGCAAGTCTTTCAAGGCCATTAACACAGAGATTTATATCCTATTTAACTTTGTAAATTATGTCATTTTTACTTAACAATTCTATGACTTTAAATGCACCAGCAAGTGTAAGCTCTCAATCAGATAATCAGATGGATAAATGGAACTGATAGTGATTATCTGTGATACTAATCAACAGATAACAATCAAATTCCCTGATTGTCCTCTACTTGTTCCACTATGAAGTGGAAAAATACACATTTATAATGCATTTTGCAACCTTATAAAAATTATACTCTTAAAATTCACATAACATAAAAAGTAGTTCACATATACAGATTTAATATTTAGGCTGTTTTTCTTTTAAACATAAAAGGGGTAGAAATATAAGCAAAATATTTCATATTGAAAATCATCTGCCTTCTTAGCATTGAATCAAAGACTTAGTGTCGAATGCAACCTGAATGTCCCCATAAATTATACGGTTCTTTATATTTTTCTTATTTTAAGAGTTCTCTTATTTTCAGTGCATCCTATAAAACTCAAATATGCTTAGTTGGTTCATATTACAAATGTGTTAGTTGACTATGTCATCACTCTTCATTCAAGTAAAACTACAAAATACAAAATTGGGAACCATCTTAATTAAGAAGTTTATATAGATCTTATGCCAATATAATTTAAAAATGCATGATTATCTTTCTAGTGAATATGATATGAATACCTCCTATTTAGATGGGACTAAAAAGAATAGCAAAGAAGGATAAACTTACTGAAACAGATATGTCCAATTACAAGATTAAACATTCTGGATAACAGGCCCAAGCAAAACCAAGTTTTACCAATTGGCAGTAACGTGCAACATAAGGCAGAAAATAGTGGATAAGAAACGAAATACAGAAAGGAGCATGGAATACCTTCAGAAAGCCATCCCCAGTTTCCAGCATTTAAAGAAAGCATTGATTTGAGCAATGCAGAAGCAGTAACACTGTGCAATGGCATCAAAGACTGAGCACAACCTAACTCCACAGGAAGCCTACAGAATGGTATAATAATGCTGTGTTAGTAACATGATAATAAATAAAAGAATCTTCCTCAATTAAAAATGCAAAAAAAAAAACAATTTTACACATGAAAAATAAGAAAAACCAACAAAAACCTCAAATGAGTTATCAGTGTGCAGACTCAAAAAGTGCAATTTCAAAAATGAGAAAAGAAGGGGGAAGGAAAGAAGAACAGGGAAACTTAAATACAGTTTTAAAAGAAAAGGTAACAATAAGAACAACAACAATAGCAGTCATGATAACGATGATTATGACAAGAAGAATTGAGAGAATCCTAAATGGGTAACCACAATGAAATGAATGATAAGAAAAGGCAGCAAAGAGACTGCTGGTAAGAAAGAATAAAAGGAGTTCCAAATGAAATGGGCCAAATCTGTGATCTCTGTAATTAAGTGATAGAGGCATCCCATCATCTATTTTTCCAATGTGATTTTGCAAAAGCAGTTTGGTTCCAAACTCATCTGGGACTGAATTCTGAAGTCTGAACAAATAAATACTCATCTTCAATTAATAGTGGAGAATGGGGAAAAAACTAAGTTATTGAATCACAAAAGAGGAATAAAGTGCATGGTGGGGGAAGGTTCCTCGTCATATTTACACTAATTTGGGATGCAAGAAATGGCAAACTGCACACAAACAAAGAACAAGATCCATGCTGGGTAGTGGGAAGTATCAAATAGTATATACCATAGAAAACAAACAGGTAYCGGAGGAGGAAGAAAATGACAATTATTGAGCTGACAATAACATTCGGAATAGTTTTCAAATTTATATTGATGGTTCATATGATCCAGTTTCTGGGAAGGCAGGCATT